GTACTGCCATGGGGAAGAGCTTTCTCCCAACCCTAAGATTCCAGGGAGATATATTTTAATATCTGCAGGTAAAGTACATTATCATGAGCAGCTCCAGCATCCTGAGCAGAAATCTACAGAGAAGACAGACAGTTTGCCCAGAAAGGGAGTGGAGGCAGGGGATATTGTAGTAAGTGTGATAGCAGAATTTGCAGAATTATGTTAATTAATTAACACATGGCATTTTGTTCTTAATTTGCCATGACTGCTATTTGCAGACACAAGAACAAACCATTTAGGCCATCATGTGTAACCCCTGCTTAGTTCAGGAATTCAAATTAAAGCATCCACAACTGATGGCTATCTAGCCTCCACTTGAAAACATCCAGCAAATGAGAATCAATCACCTCTCCTGGTAATTGGTTCCACTGTCAAAAGCTCTTCTTTGTAGGAAGTTTTTTTTTTTCCCTAACATATAATCAAAAGTTGCCTTCCTGTAAGTTTAATCTATTATTTTATGTCTTGTACTCTGGAATGAGAGAGAACAGATTCCGATCTTCTGTGTTAACGTAGTTTCAGATATTTGAAGAGTGCTATCTTATCCCCCTCCCTGTCATCTTTTCAAAAAACTAAATATATAATTCCCAGCTTTTTCAATCTTTCTTCATAGGGGTTAGTTTTTAGCCCTCAAATCATCCTTAATACCCTTCTCTATTTTTTTTTTTAATTTTTAAACAGAGAATTCAAGATGGAATCTGACCAAAGCAGATAGAATGCATCTATCACTTCTTATGATTTAGGCATCAGAATTCTGTTGATGCTAAAATTGCATTTGCCTTCATTGCAGCCATATTACAGACTGGCTTATACTCAGTTTGAAATCAACTATTATTCAAAGATCTTTTTCACAAGCACTATTACCAAGCCCTATTCTGTACTGTTTTTTTCTTTCCTAAGTGAAAAGTTTTGTATATATCTCTGTCTGATATCATTGTTATTTGCAGTCCATTTCTCCAATCCATCAATTTATTCTGCCTTTATTTCTGTCTTTAGTATTAGCTATTGCACTTAATTTTGTATCATCTTCAAATTGGATAGGCCTCTCCACTTCAAAATCAAAATTAATTAATTAATGAAAATATAGGGTGGATAGAGGATCCCAAACTGATCTTTGTGGCCCCCCACCTGAGACCTCTCTCCAATTTGATGACAAATTGTCGATGATGACGCTGTGAATATTATTTTCAAGCTAGCTGTATAAGCCACTTAATTGCCATGTCATCCAACCCACACTTACCTCTAATTTGCATGTCATGGGGTACTTTGTCAAAAGTTCTGTTGAAGTATAACTATAGTATTCCCATAGCCTATTAAGAAAGTTATCAGATAAAAAAATGAGATAAGAATCATCTGGCAAGATTTGTTCTTGATAAATCCCTACTGACCTCTGGTAATTATCACATTGTTTTCAAGGTGCTTATAGATCTGTCACTTTAGGATCTGCTCTAAAATCTTTCCAGGTACCGATGTCCTTCAGATTACATGATGTCAGCCTGACTGGTTTGTAGTTTGCTGGATCTTTTTCCAGTTTTTAAAAATAGGGATAGCATTTGCTTTCCTCTAGTCATCAGGCTCTTCACCAGTTCCCTAGGATTTCTCAAATATATAATGGTTAGACCAGACCATTGACTATTTCCTTCAATATTCTAGGATGCAATTCTTCTAGTCCTGCAGATTCAAACTCAAAGTTAAAAAAAATAATAATCCTGACCATATTCCTATGTATCTCAAACTTCAGTCCTCCTGCCCTCCACAATTCCTAAGCAGAACTTTTCGTTGGAGAAGACTGAATCAAAATAATAGTTCTACCTTTCTTTATGTGCCTTCTGAGCAACTGTCCTTTTTTCTTTTTGTTATTTGCAACATATCTTTAAAAAATCTTTTTTGTTATTCTTAACATCCTTCACTAATCTCAGCTCATTCTGACCTTTTGCTTTCCCAACACCAACTCTACTAGCCTGGGCTGCCTGTCTGTGCTCTTCCTTTGTGACCAGCCATCTTTCTATTTTCTGTATGTGTTCGTTTGTTTCAGTTCATCACTAAGATCCTTCTGTAGCCACATTAGCTTTGTTTGCTCTCCTCTCTTTTTGCACCTCATTACAATTATTTGCTTTTAATATCTCTTTCTTTAGGAACTCTCACCCCAATTGAGCTTCTTTTTTAATTAGTTTTTACTGTCATAGGATCTTATTTTTCATTTATTAAAACCTGTTTTTTTGAAGTCCAAGATACATAGTTGACTCCATTCAGTTTTCGTTTCCCTTAAAATCAAAAACTCCAGCATTCAGTGAAATTCCCTTTGTGTTCTTGCCAATTGATTAGCATTAAATCAATGATAGCTGACCTATGGTTTTTGTTCCTTTTGAACAAATAATGTCCTTGAATTGAGTTACCCATGAGGTCTTCATTATACCTATTAAATCATATTTGTCATTCTGTACTAAGAATTCAACTCTTTTTTATCTCCCATACTCTGAGCATTAGTGTATAGATAATGAAGACCCTAAATATAACGAGTCCAGGTTCTTTCTGATTTTTCTTTGAGTGGTATAGACGGCTCTTTTCAGCAACATATAATGCATTTCTCTGAGGTTCTTACTTGAGGGTTTCTATCTCCACTCCCTATAGGATTCAGTTTAAAGGCCACCTAGTGAACTTTGCCATGCTTTGGCCCAGCGTTTTTACTAGTGCTTGTGAGATGCAACCACTTCTGTGCCAGTAGTCTATCATCTAAATAAATCAGATAATAGTCCCAGAAACCAACTTTCTCCAGTTGACAGTACTTGCATAGTCATTCTTCTTTCCCTTTCTGATTCTCTTCCATGCACTTAAATGATGGATGAGAATACCAGGGTCTTAAGCTTTCTTCCAAGATTTTTCAGTCTATTATGATATGGATATAGCTTTTCTTTATGACATCACTTCCTCACATCTATCAACAGGAAGGAATAATTGTCATTAAAATTGATAAATCCTAGAAAATGTTCTGTCATACCCTTGAACCTTGTTCCTGGCAAATAGCAAACTTCATTAGTTGATGGATCTGATCAACATGTTTGTTTCAATTGTTGTAGGACTGAATAACCAATTACTACAACTCTTTGTCTTCTTACTGGGCATAGTTGCCTTCTATTTATCCTTTAGAGAGTCGTACCCTGTCTCACATTCTTTTTCATCTCTTTGAACACCCATAGTCTGAATCTGTAAGGGCCTGAATACTGTTTCTGAATTCTAGTGGGGCAGTATATCTTCATTTCTTGTTCTTGGTTTTTACTTTCATCCACTGGTGGTGTCTCTTCCTCTGTCCACCTTGTTGCAGAGCCTCCTTTCTTGAAGTGTGGCTATTTCAGCTCCAATTCCTTGACTTTTTCCTCAAGGCCTGCTATATGCTAGCATTTGTTGCAAATATATTCCAGGTTGTTTTCAGGAAGACAAACATACCACAAGCATTGCAGGTCACAATTGCAAACTCTTGTCTCTTGATCTTCAGGTTTTCTTCATAAATACCACAAGTAAAAATTCCTTGTTGTTGTTCCTTAGGCTCTCACATTAGTTAAGTATCCATGACTTAGAGGGAAAATTGGTTAGAGGCTCCCCCAAGACTCTCCAGGCAAACTAGCTTATTAATCTTGTACAACCTGCTATATTTCATTAAAAATGTTTCTGTGGATTTTTAAGGTTGATTAATTGCTATCAATTTTTTTTAATGTAAAGCATTATTAAATTACTCCAAATTAATCAAGTTATTTTGTGGGGAGAAGGGAAGGAATAACTAATAAGAAGGCATTACTACAAGAGAGATAGAGAGATAGAGATATTTCAGGTTAATTTTATAGTTTTAAAAAGTGGTGGAAGGGTTGGGCAATAGAAAATGTTTTGGGGAGGAAAATGCAACCCAATGGATATATTATTTATCTGAATTTCTGCAGCAGGAAGCAGAAGTAGTAGAAGCCTACTACCCCCTGAAAAAGGATCCTATTGTTACAACTTAATGCAATAGAGGAAATGGCTTCAGTATTTTCAACATTGGGGGGGGGGGGGGG